GGCACCCTTTTGGTGATAACAGTCAGCTTCTCATCCTTTTGCTGATTACCATCAGTTCTAATGCCATTGCTGCTTAGTGGCATTATGTGCTCTGGTGGTTATTTTAGAGATTGAACATCTGCGTGCTTGCTTTGTTTATTCAGTTTGTCATAAAATTGCTGTTTAGCTCTCTCTCCTGCTCTCTCTCATGTATATATTCTCCATGATAAATGCTTATTTTGTGGTCATTCAGCAATCCCTTGATCTGGATGATGAGACATAAATGCAATAGCAATAATTTATCGTCTGTTAGATGCTATAAAAAATCGAGTTTGGCATGTTTGTTGTTTTAATTATTATTCTTTGTAGATTTGAAAAGTATACAAATTTAACCATTGATACCTTGAACCTTACTTTACGGCTCTATTTCTTTAAGAATGATTGGGGAAATTTTGAATGACTTGCTACCAGTTGGTGCACTTTTATATAAGTACTTAGTCATGCTTTTGAATGTCCTAGTTAATACTATTGTATGTTTCTTTATATCTGAAAATGTTCTACATTTGAACTTATGATATATTTTCACAAACTTGGTGTACTAATGGCCTGCTATATCATCGAGAATATACTCCTTGTTTTTTGAGAGTTATTTTAATTTTGTTATCAGTTTGTGAGTGTGGTGATTTCTTTTAAATACAGGCAGGTTACCAAACTCAAAGAGGTTGAATTTGGAAGCTGTGGGTGTTGAACTTGATAATACAGGAGCTGTGAAGGTTACTTGTTCTGTCATCTCTTGTTCTCGATTCTTATCATCAAACATTACTAAATCATTTTCTGGAAATAAGTATCTTCTCACTGGATTGTATACTGATAATGTCAACTTGCATGGCTATGATTTCATTGTGATTGACATAACTAATGGCATGGGCTCTGCTGTACTATTTCTTTTCTAGTTTCCTGTTTCTTTTGGGTAAATGTTTTTGACTATCGCCAGATAGGATGTGCAATCTTATTCCCTGATATTGTTTAAAAAGAAGGCATGCCTGTGGAAAGAACTATGTCTGATTTTGGGGCTTAAATTATGTAAAGATAAAGGGCCTTCTTTAAGTGACATTTGTCTGTGGTGCATTTCCTTTTGTATGTCTTTATTTTTTCCATTTTCCATTTGTTGACTTAATTATGTAGATTGCTTTGTGTTCTGTTCTCCCATATCTTCTGAAAACAACAGTTGCATGACCTAGTTGAATTTTTATTACAGCGCTGAGGTCTGTCCATCTTCATATTGCAGGTGGATGAGTACTCACGCACTAACATTCCCAGTATATGGGCTGTTGGTGATGTTACAAATCGAATGAACCTCACTCCAGTGGCCTTAATGGAGGGAACTTGCTTTGCTGTAAGTGATCTGCCCGAAGCCCTTTTATTATTTTTCCTGTACCAAACATGGTTTTTTCTTCATTTTCAATGGGAATAATCACATATGATTACATGTTAAACTTAAGGTTTTTTTTTCTCTTTTCTTTTCTTTTCGTCTTGTTTTTTGGGAAAATGCTTGCAGAAAACAGTTTTTGGTGGGGAATCTAGCAAACCGGACTACAGCTATATACCTTGTGCTGTGTTTAGGTAATGACTTCTCTCTTACAACATGCCTTTGGTGGTGGCAGTGGTGTGTGTATGTAATACTTTAAATTTAGATATGATGCCACAGTCATGAAAATTATGTTTGAATCTGTTTCTTCAGAGGATTTAAAATTCTTGTAGTTATTAGGTTTTTTTATCCATATGCAGAGGATTGTACATTTTTTTTTGTTGACTGCCTCATTTAATCTTGGAAATATGCATATGTTTTATCTTTTGATGTGGCTAGTGTCTAAATGTAACATGTTCCTTTTGAATCTTTTTTTTTTAGTAAATTAATTGCTATACTGATTTGCTATTTTGCAGCATACCACCACTTTCTGTTGTTGGTGTCAGTGAAGAGCAGGCAATTGAGCAAGCAAATGGCGATGTTCTGGTTTTCACATCAACCTTTAATCCAATGAAGAATACTATATCTGGGTATGATGATCATTTGAGATGTTATTGTACAAAAAAGTAAATAAATAAATAAAATTATATGGCTGTCTTTGTCCCTGTCCCTCCACCCTTTCCTTTTCCGACAGAGCTCATCCATCCATTGAGTCATATTTCTTTTTCCATCTGACTTTTGGGGCTAGGTTATGTGGACTCAGGAATTTTTTTTTTTTAATTAATTTCAAGGATCAAAGCGTCAAATCCACAAAAATTTAAGGTGTCCAACATGGATAGTTTAGGGTAAATTGAAGAGCATGTGCAATGTTGGCTGTGGGGATTTAATTTTGCATTCTATGTCGATAGCAATGGTCGTGGTTTCATGATATCAATATAGCCTGCTAGGAAAAGGCTTCATGGGCATGAAGATGATGACATTAGGGGTTAATCTTTTCATAAGGCCTGAACAATTTTTTGTTTTGTTATTGATTTGGGATGTGCTGGGTTTATCTGGTTTTTTGGCTTCTACTGTAAGTGGCTTCTATTTTAGCTAAAATACTTCCAAATCCTCTATCTTATCTAATATAATGTCAATTAAGTATCTAATATGTTCCAATATTCTAGATGTCAATATTTTCTTTTCCTTGTCCCTTTGATCAGCAACCACATGTGCAATTCTTGTATATCCTACTAATATTTTGCTTTTTTTGCAATTCATAAATTTCTCATGTTCTGCTTCTAGACGGCAAGAAAAGACAGTAATGAAGTTAGTCGTTGATGCGGAGACTGATAAAGTACTTGGGGCATCTATGTGTGGGCCAGATGCACCTGAAATTATGCAGGTACTTTATTTGTTGGTTCATTTGATGTAAATACTTATCTCCATGTGTTGGTGCAAACACACATGCCTTGTGTAATTTAAATACAGATTATTGTAAACAATATGAATATAGTTGGTAACGTCGGTCTGATTTTGCAAGTGCATAATGTAAATTCTGGCATAGTCCTAACACGTTTTATTAGATTTAGCTAGTGCATTTTGCTTTAAGATGCACAGAATCATCCATGAATGATGTTACCTTTTTTCGTTGATTGATAATTCAAGTACTAGAGAATATTGAAAATCCTGATGACAAAAAGGATTTCTAGTTCACTATAGACTTCTTATAGACCTTGCACCTTGTAGTAGAATGTAGATGCAATGACTTATGCTTACAGTTAATGCTCAATTATATTATGTGTCTAAGTATCATGCAAATGGCAATGATTAGATGGACCCAATGTCCTTATGCATAGTTTTGGCTTGCATAAGCTGCGTTTAGGAATTAGGTGAACTATGCTGTGTGTTGTAGGCCTGATGGCCTTATGTATTGTTTTGTCTTGCAATAAGCTGCATTTAGGAATAAGGTGAATTAGCCTGCATTTGCATTTTTGAGGCATAATGATCATAACTCCAATATTCTTTATTTCTTTTTTCTTTTTAGGGCATTGCTGTTGCACTAAAGTGTGGAGCGACTAAGGCACAATTTGACAGCACGGTAAGTTGAACTTGTCTGTAGAGCTAGGTCTTTGGGTTTGACTTATGCACTCCTATATTATACTTTGTCTGATTGATTTAACATCAAGTTGAATTTGGTATTCTGAACCAATTTTTGTTGTGGCCTGTAAACTGATTGGTGAGGGGGGGTTTAGTAGGTTTTTCTTCAGCTCCAGGGGACTTTTTTTTTTTTTTTTTTTTTATCTAGGGGCAATAGGTAGCAAATCGTTTAACCTGTAAACTGTCAATTATGAGTTTGCATGAGCAAAGCTTTGACATTCTTCTTCTTGTCATTATTATTTTGCTGAAGGGATGTTTGGAGGTGGGTAGGGAGATATTTTTATAATCATTTGGGTTGTAGGAGACTCATGTTATATAATCAAATAAATAAGATAATCATTGCTACTTTTAAACTGTTTCTTTCTAAATATGATTAGTTTGTTATTCATAATTGAACTGAATTGAGTCAATACACTGCCAGGCTCGAGCTTGACTCAAAGCTGGATTCAAGCTTTATTTTAAATGTGCAAGCTCGACTCGTAATTTAATTGTGCTCGGCTTGTAATTTAATTGCACTGCCCGAACTCGGCTGGATAGGTTCAGTAAAATTGTAAATATTGACATTAAATACTATATTTTTGTCATTTACTTATATATATTAAAAAATAAAAGCTTGATTAAATTCGAGAGCCTTTTAAGTTAGGTATTAAATTACTTGAACTAGAGTCAATTCGTTACTTGAGTAGCTCGAGCTCAAATTCAGCCTGACAATGAATGAGCTGAGCTGGCTTTTTTTAAAATAGATTCAGAATAGTTCACGAGTCGTTTGACTGGTTTACACTTGCAGAGAACAAGATTTTGGACTTCTATATTTGTTCAAGAAATCCCAACTCATCCCCATTTTTGGAATTCCTTCTACTCTTTATTGTGATTTGTGAGTGTCCTATCTTACTGAGCCAGTCTTCTGAACTCTTTCCTACAGGTTGGCATACATCCTTCAGCTGCTGAGGAATTTGTGACCATGCGATCTATTTCACGACGTATTACTGCTGGTGGAAAACCAAAGAGAAATCTGTAGTAGAAATATATGAAGGAAATTATAGTCCCGATAATGTTTCAGTTGGAAGCAACATTTATGATGGTCATAGATATTTCACGGGAAAAAGGTATAGATGATTGCTAAGGGTTGTATTTTGGTTGATCTTTATTCCAAATAGAGGGCCCTTCCCTCTTTTAGGACTATTTATTTTCTGTCTTGCTAGTTCACCAGCGATGTATTTGTTCCTTAAGTTTTCGGTGTATCGCATCACTCAAATATTTCTGATTTCTGGTGTAATGCAAAATTATTTTAGATATAAGCTCACATTTTTAGTATCTGGTGTCTCTCTTATTTTATACGCAGTGGCTGCCATTTTAACTCGAGTTTGTTTTGAGGTGCCTTTTGCAACACTAGTTGGCAAAACAAACGCCAAGTTTCCTGTTAAGGGTGAGGTAAGCATGGGTCACAGTTTTAACTGACTTAAACCCACTGAGATTGATTGAATTCGACAAGTCAATTCGGTTTGTTCAATTTTGATAATTTTTGGTTAAATTACACGGTTTAGACCGTATCCAAATTGATAAATTGGGTTCAGCCGATGCTTGTTGCTTGCTAAAATTCAGCCAGTAATAATTTGCAAGTGCACCACATTACAAGTTTCATATGCTAACCTGGAAAGGAATTTTCTTTGAAGGGAAAAAAGGAAGAAAACGGTTATGAAGTACTTAAATGCACATCAAAGCCACATTTGGGAGCATAGAGCAGTGCAATCGGAAGAGTTCCTCGCTGCATGGGCCCCAATAAAACTCTTCTGCATGGCCCCCAAATTTATTGGGGGCTAATGCAACGGGAAGCTCATCCCATCACAGTGCCTCCTGCTCCCAAACAGGCACTAAATAATCGTATGGGATTTGTCCAAAATAAAAATGAATCTCATGATAATGTAGGAGTTTCTGAAACATCAAGAATTATACTTTATTCGTATACTTGGATAATTACTTCATGTAAAGCAAGATGTGAACACAGAGACAATAGAGGTCAGGCAACTTACTTCCATGTAACTTAAAGCGTGTTAAATGAACATTATGATACCTAAACCACTGCTTTTCCTTGGCATACATCACAAACCGTATAGCCATGGCCGTCACAGTATGGACAGTTAGGTCCCTCATCCACCCATTCTAAAAACTGCATCACAAATATCAGTCAAATCATCAATGTGGCTACACAAACAATTAATTATTAAACAAATCATACAAAGAAGCAAAACCTTTTACCTGTGGTTCGACATTAGGTTCGCCCGTTCCATCACATTCTGCAGTAGAAAAATGTCAGTAAGATTATTTAATTCCGTGTAGAGAACTGATGAAAATAAGACACCGGAAAACAAGGTAATATGCAACCAAGCACTTGCCAAGCTTCATAAATGGTCTTGTTTGAGCAATGCTGCACACTTGCACTATATTCATTCTAAACAAAGAACAGTAACCGGCCCTCTACAGAGTAACTCCTTTGAAGACTGAGGTCCAACCTAGGAAATAATAATTACCTGTACACAATAACCGGCCCTCTCCCCGACAAGCATGGCACTTTGTTGCAGTATCCTTGTTTTTACTTTCCCTAACTTGTTTATCCCTGCCAGAAAGCCTAGAGGGTTCTTCCCACCGATTTTCTCCAAGAAGAAATACTCGATGTTGGGATACCTCAGTTTCTATGAAACCTTCCTCTTTCACAGCTTTCTGTTGTATTTCTGAGATTTCTGTCAAGGAAGCAATTGCAGCTCCATTGGTCCCCTCCTATAAAATAGCACAAGTCAAAGAAACTAAGCAATTTGTTGGCTGAAATCAAAATCCTGCTGCTTTCATAACTTAAGCCTACTAGCATGCACAAGAAACTTTGCCTTATGCATAGTCCAAACATACCTTCTCCGGAATAATGAAAGGGGCTATTTCATGATCTGCCATACTGCTTGAAGCAGAACTCTTGATTTGCTGTTCCCCAAACAACCTTTGAAAAAGTTCTGCAGTCATTATTCCATCTTCACGGGCACCTACTGTTGCCTGCCAAGAGGAATCATTTGCTAATGAATAACATATGAGAAATAAGATGAAGATCAGAAGCTTTTTTTCTAATCAGCAATCCATATCAAAAGATTATTCTGTCCTCTGCAGCGGTATCTTTGATAATAATGGAAAATTATTGTCCACGACAACAAAACACAATAGTGAAATTACGGCTTACTTGCCAAGTTTTGACGGCACGCTCAGTCCCACTGGAGAAGCAGGAAAATTCCATGTCCTCCTCACCCGAGTAAAACCCCAATTTTTGTAACGCATCCTGTCATAATAAAAGAAGATCATTAGGGAAAAGTTCAAAATCCATTATCAACTCTGTTGCAATCTCATGAACCTATTACGATTACAGCGTGGCAATTAGCACAAGCAAAAGAGAATTCGAAAAATAGAAGAAAGAAATTAAGTTAACCAAACAAAGCAAGTTCGTTCCTTTCTTTTTCTTTTTTTTTTCTTGTTGCTCAATTCTGTTTCCTCTCGAAAAAGCATTCCTTCAATAATAGATTATTCATATATTCAAAATTTAACCAAAAAAAAAACCGGGGTTTGATTTTAAGTGACCTGCATTTCTCGAACTTGCTCTCCTTCGCTGCCTACTCTCAAAGCTTTCCTTTCTATCTTCTTTTCCTCCTCTTTTTCCTTCCTCTCCACAACCCTAACTCCTTCCGCCACAACCACCTCTTTCTCTTTTACTTCTTCCAAAACCATCTCTCTCGCGCTTTCTCCGCTTTCGGCAATCCGATTCTTCTCTTTCAACACCTGCAGTAAAGCTCCGATATTCGAAATCATCTCCGAAACCGAAGCTCCTTGAACTGAATTCTGGTTCTCTAAGGCTTGGATTTGAAGCTTGAGTTGGGAGATTTGTCGGAGTAGCGATTCTTTCTCGGTTAGCCAACGCTGCTCTTCTCTTAGCCAGCGTTGCTCTTCTCGGAGCCAGCGTTGTTCTTCGCGAAGCCACCTGGCTTCTTCGCGGTCGAAATTTGAAGAATTTGGTGAAGAAGAAGAAGAGAAGCAGAGGAAGAGTTTGGAAGGGGAAGAAGAGAGAGAGGAAGGCTTGGAAGGAAAGGAATGTGAATTGTGAAGGAGAAAAGGAGGGTGGAGAGAGAGAGGAATTAAGGAAGTCATGTGAAGGGAAATTGAAATATAGAAAAACTAATTACTGAAAGGGAAATGGAAGGAAACGAGAGGAAAAGGGGTGAAGAAGAAGAAGAAAGAAAGCGGATATTTTAGTTTGATTTTGATTTGATATTTGTAGTGTTTGGTTACAGTTTTTAAACCACACATTGGCCAATACTGTATAGCCGGCGGGAAAGCATTTTCACTCTTCACCTTTTTGTCTTTTCCTTTCGCTTATTTAGTATTGTTATCGATCGAATTTAAATTGATATAATAAAATTTAAGATTTGGTATTCGATTTAAATTTGATTAAATTTTAAATTTTTAGTTTAAATTTGATTCAAAATAAAAATTAAATTATTTGAATTCGTTCGATTAAACTCGATTAACATATAAAAATAAGTTTAATTCTTATATTTGATAAAAGTTTGATTATTGTGCTCGAATTTGAACTCAAATTTAAGATATTTTATTAATTAAAATAATAAAAATATATTTAAATATAAAAACTCGATTAAACTCGTGAACTACTCGAGTCGGGTATAAGAATACTCGAACTCGATTCGATCGATGAGTTGAGTTACTCGAACTCGAGCTCAGCTTGATAATAATCGAATCTAATTCGAATTTTATTCGAATCGAACTTGAATAATTTATAAGTATTAATATATCATTTACACTTCTACCTTAACTCTCTTTTTCTTTTCTTTTCTCTTTTTTTTAAAGGTAAAAATGGTATTAGCATTTCTTATCCTTAAATTTTGGACAGCATATTATTTTATTCTCTATACTTTCAGAAGTTATTTTCAAAATTTTAACATTACATAGAAATAATTTTTTCGTAAAAAAATTTGATTAAGTCTGATCTTAAAAATAAATGACGTCACATGTTTACATATATGACAGACACGTAGTTGTTGGAATTATTTAAAATTTTATATTTAATATAAATTTTAAAAATTTGTACTATATATAAAAATAAAAACAAAAAACTATTAAAATTTGAATAATTTAAATTTTATTTAATTTATAGTATAATATATTATCCAGTTTTTTAAATTTAAATTGTATATATTTTAAATTATAAAACTAGATAAAATATTAAAATATATTATATCTAAAAATTAAAATACAAAAATTATTAAAATAGAAAGTTTTAAAATTTATTTATCTTAAACTATAAAATTTGATAAAATATATTAAAATTATATTATATTTATTTTAAAAAACTTATTAAAAATAAAATTGTCAAACTTATTTATTTTAAATTATAAAACTAGATAAAATATACAAATATATTATATCTAAAAATTTGAAAATAGAAAATTTTCTTAAAAATAGAAAATTTTAAATTTTATTTATTTTAAACTATAAATTTTCATGAAATGTATTAAAACTATATTGTATTTAAAAAATAAAAAAATTATTCGAAAAGTAAATTTTGAAATTTATATAGCATAAATTATAATATTTGATAAAACATATTACTATATATTATGTTTGAAAAATTAAAATAAACTTCTTAAAATTGAAATTTAAAGACTTGTTTATTGAAATTATAATATTTGCAAATATATTAAAATTTTATATTATGTTTAAAAAATAAAACAAAAAATTTATTTTAAAATAAAACATTTTGAAATTTACTTATCTTAAATTATAATATTTGATAAAATATATTAATTTAAAAAACATTTATTTTTATTTAGTTTTTTCATGTTTTTGTTCATTTTCTCATTTATTTTTTTCTCTTTTTCAATTATCACATCAAATACTTTGTCTTGGTTAAAGTCAAGTCAAATGGTAAAATTAACGGTTAAATTAATAGAATGATCATTTCAATTTATTGGTGAAAATTTAAGGACGATCAAGTTATTTCTTGAAGTTTAAGGATCAAAATAGTATGTGCCAAAATTGAGAGATTATGAATGTTATTTACTTTTTTTTTTATCTAAATTTGATACTATCAAATATTATCAATAATTTTAAAATTGCACTTTTGCTTATATATACTATTTTTCAAATATATTTTGTGTTTTTTAAGAACATAAAGTTGATGATTTTAGATAAACTTGATAATTTTAAATATGACACAATTACATAATGTAAAAATGATAAAAAAAGAAAGACATGGTTTTAGACTTATTTTTTTTGCCAATGTTTTAGACATTTTGACATAAATAAAAAATTAATAAAAAAAAAAAAATCAAAGTTATGGATTTGACTAAAAAAATGTGTTTTATATTTGACATGTCAACATAAAATTGATATGATAATTTTTACTTTTGTGTTTTAAATGTATTTAACAAGAAACAAATATAATACAAATACATAAATTATTGATTATAGTGAATTTTACTCACTAAGTGTTTGGTTATACTATATTAAAAAAAATATTGGGTAATGATGATGAATGATTTTCAGCTCAATTTTGCAACTAAAGTAAACAAGTAGTAATAATAAACTATAAAGAGAGTGTTAAACTTAACATTACATTAAAAATTTATGATTTGTGCACTAAGTTACATCATACGCAATTTTTCATAGGAAAAATTTATTTTTTTTACATTCCTAACCCCAGCTAGCAACAACAAAGAAATTATGCACTCTCATGTCTTCCTAGCACAGAACACAAGCTAATGTCCTCGAAAGGATCATAGTCATCACCTCTGTCTCCACCTCTACCCTTACGCCCTCTATGATATGCACTATAGCCATCGTAGCCACTCTCGTCATCGTCATCGAAAGACCTCTACTACCTTTCTTGCCTTCCATAATTCTTTTGTTCGTTGCCTTTACCATAAGTTCCTGATGTTTTATTACCTTTCCAATAAAACTGTTACGGGTAATACGATATGGATCCATCTAGTTTAAGGAATTCAATAATGCTGATTGCCTTATGAACTTGCTCTTTCTTAATAATGCTGAGGTTATGACCTTTTTTTGTTTCTTAAATTTCTTTTTTTTTTCCTAATTACTTGTATCAACCCAAATTCCTCATCTACCAAAACTTTTCTTCTCCCATTATTTTTTAGTGTTTCCAACAATTTTTTCTTCTTTTCAATGAGAGACTACCATTCCTTTAAGAATCAATAACTTCTCATCAGCAACTTGTTCCTTTTCTCTAACTTTATTCACAGATTTTTCATCAACTCTTTTGCTCCTATCCTTCATCATCTTGGACTTCTTATCACCTTTATTATCACCATTTCTTTCACTGTTATCGCCATTGTTAAACATAATAACTTCTTTCTTTTTTTCGGCCACAACAACAAAGTTGGCTTTTTATCACCATTGTTAGATGAACGACCTTCACCACTCTTTTTATCACCATTATTGATTCCATTGTTATAGCGTTTGCTTCCATCACACTTGTAATGTCTTTGAGGGCCTTGACCCCTATAACCACTGTAATATTCTTGACATTGATCTTTCTCATTATAAATTTTTGTTGGTGTTAATTATTATTGCCTTAAGCAACAGCTTGACCTTCATCCTAATCATTGCCATTATTCTCATAAAATCTCCTTTTTTTGTTGAAACCTTTAGCCTCTGCCTCCCTTACCTCTACTATAACCACCATTATTATTATTATTATTATTATTATTATTATTATTATTATTATTATTATTAGTCACCTAATGGTCATCAGGCCTACTGTATCTTCCCTGTTGATAACCATCTGCAACTCTATAGTTGTAATTATTCCTATAGTTACCTTGATAGTCATTGCCAACTATATAGTCTCTTTAACCCTGATAATAATCAATACCATGCCATGGTAATTATCAAGATCGTTCTTACCTTCAATATTCTAGTATTTTTCGCCATTATCACTTCTTGGTTGTTATATGTTGTTGTTGGTTGCTGCTACAGCCTTAATTTAGGCTTATTTTTTCCATAGTTCTTAAGCCTAGTTGTTTTATTGATGTTTTTTCTCATCTTTCTTCTCTTTCCTGAGAACAAGGAAATATCTTCAAATGTGGCTAGAAAGGATAATAGGCTTCACCCACATCTTGCAAGAATCCATCTAAAACTTTTATTGTGGCTTTTGCTCTTTTTTCTCCTCTAAGGTAGTAGTAATAAACTTCAAGGACTCTTTTAGTCTCAAATTATTAATGAGATTTGATATATCATCTATTTCTTGGTTGCCCAAAAGAGCAAAGAAGTTCTCCTCCAGAGCTATGAATGACAAAAGAAATCCCACATGCAAAAAAATTAAGACTAGAACCATAGCTTGTTTCTTGAAAACCTAGGTAAATCCAAATTGAGAATAAGCAAGGAAGTTGATGGAAAGTGATGCCAAGAATTAATGTTTAAGATGTGGAGATTAACTGCAAATAGAAAAACTCACAAAAAAAAATAAATCACAAGAATTTGAATATGACAAAATATGATTATTGGATTAAAATGGATAAAAGTTCACCACCAAGACTAAAAACTAAATGATACAAAAATACCACCTTATGAATTATAATCAAGGACATAGAACAATAGAAGTTCACCACTTTAGGAAATCTACCTAAGAAATACAGAACTTGAAGAACAATCTAAAAGATTGCTTAAAGATAAAGAAAACTCTATTTTTCTTCTAGCAAAGAATAATAGAAAATATATAGGCTAGGAACATCCCTCCAAGCATGGAAACTTTCAAATTACATTACTAGAATAGTGTCTAAAATCATGAGATTTGTATGTGAACATAATCTGCTCATTTATTCCTGCAGAGTACATGATGATGAATCTGACTACAATCTCATCCATATTCATACTCTTTTTTTTTAACTAGTGTGAACACAATCTCCCTATTTTAGCGCACTTTATTTATGTATTTATTTAGTGGATTTGGACTAAGGATAGGCCCATCTTATTTTTGGATGAGTCTGTCTTAATCTCAGTCCAAGTTGTATAATGTGCAGACACTCTGATGTCAATCTCTTCTGATTGAAAAAGACTTGTCTTCAAGTTTGAAATAGTATTCTCGTCATGGTAGGGTGACAAATTAGCAACATTTAAGGTAAAAAATACTTCATAAGTGTCGAAAAGCTCTATCTTGTAGGCATTTTCCTTAATGTGTTGGAGAACTCTAAATTGACCAT